CACTGTTTCCAGCACAAGTCCAAAACACAGCCCCATACTAGCTACTGTGAAGAAAATTAACTCCATCCCAGCCAAAACCAGCACAATGGTTCATTACAGAACTTAAATTAAAATGAAGCTTTTTATGTCTAGGGCCAAAGGGCTTTTTGGCTTTTCCTGTAAAAGGTCCTAACTATGTACTCAAAATGTGATTTGTGTAGTGAGAACATAAGCAAAATAACTATTCCTGGTAAGGTCAAATATATGTGCCCATAAATAGATCAGACTTACTTAAGTCGTTAATGGTACTTTCTATTTAAAACGTACAGTTGCATGCATCTTTTAATTCTTTAACAGGTATGAGGAGTCCCCAGCCCATGCAGACTACCCGCCCACCTTTCAACCGAGCCATGTCTTTAGACAGCCCTGTGGGCTCAAGTGCTCCAGTGAGGAATGTCAATGCCTTCTCCATGTTACAAAAGCAAAACTTGATGGGTGGAAGTCCGAGAAGGATTGAAAACCAGGAAAACTATGGAGCAAATCTGGGTTTGTTGATTGTGTACAAATAGATCTCATTGTAAAGGAAAAGGCTTTTATGTAAAAAATGTTGCAAGATTATAGTACGAATTTTGGTTAGAAGAAACCTTAATGTTAAAGAATACTAATTTTAATGTCAGCATATAAATACTTTTTAATTATTATACCTAGCTAAAATTATCAGAACATAACTGTTTTACCCTCTGTGTAATATTACCAGTACTTTACTTTTGTTTAGTAGTTAAATTATTTTTTACTATTTCGAGTTTTGAATGTCACATATGTTTTTGATATATAGAAGCAAGAACAAGTCACGATGGCAGTCATTAATATTTTTAAATATATTTAGATTAATATAGTTGTTTGATGATTTAGAACTTGGCATGGTAAGCTTTAGATGCTTTTTAGGAGTTCAGTGAATTGCTCTGTCATTGGCAGGTATCCTTGTTGGTAAAACAAAACAAAACCCCAGAAAAATAATTCTAAAACCGAAATATGTAATGTATTCTAGATGAAAAGTTACTGTATTTTCTGCTCTTCATTATAGCAAGTGCTCCCAACAGAAATGTAGCGATGAATCAGCATCAGTCAGGAGACTGGGGTTTGCCAAACTCAAAGGTGAACAGATTGGAACCTGCAAGTTCTGCTTCGATGTTGAGACCAGGACCCGAGTTTGGTGCGTCCCTTCCCAGACCCACGGTGGGTGGCTCTATGTCTGGGCTGCCCATTCGCTCCAGTAGCATGCCCGGTACAAGACCAATGCTACAACAGCAAATGATCCACATGAGTAAGTTCTTTACTTTTTGTTGTCCTACCTCGCACAATCTCACTAGTTCCTTAGTAAGCATTCACCATCAGAATCTTCTCGGTTTTGGCAGAATACTCGCTTTTCATCCAAAGGCTTTTTGAGGTAAAGACTGTTATTGTTCACTGACTGGGACATTTGATGACTTTTTGGTGTTCTTTTTGTTTTCTTCTGGTGATATCTGTGTGTTTCATACACAGATAATTCATGCTGAGTCTCCAGATTTCAGGGGGATAGTTTCTGTGTATTTCTTTAGTGCGGTACTTCTCTGCTAAATTCCAGGAACTAAATGCCATCTATGATGATATTTGAAGATACTAGTATCCTGATTAATTTAATTCATTGTACTTGATAAAAGTTTTTTTTTTCCTGTTAACTTCTTGGTAATCGGGGTTTTTAAAGCTTTTTCTTAAGTATTTCAAAATTCTTCTCATATGGAGTATCCAAATTTCATATAAAACCGCATTGTAAATACAGGTTCTCTTTTAACTATTCATGTTTGCATGGGAGAAAATAAGCTGCATGTCTAAAATATGAAGAGAGTCTTAAAGCCTGTGGTTTTTTTCTGTTCTATATCTCTAACAAAGGTTTAGCCTAGAGCTGAAATTGTCCTGTCTAATGTGCCAATGCCAGCATGCCCAAAAAGGGCCGAAATCCAATGGCACTCCTTTTTTCCTTTTTTATCATAGAAGGCTAGCAGGGCTGTTACCAGTTCTCTTAGACTTACTGTTTCAATGTGACATGTGGATATAAGGCTAAATCAGGAAGAAATTCATGCAGTCCTAAGTCAGAATACCTCAGCTTTGCTTCCTAGAAATCGTTATTGCTGGGTGATTCCTACAAATATCGGGAAATAATGGGATGACACAAACTCTTCTATGTAGTGCTGTATGTCTCTGAATAGGTAGAAGGAAGGCCGTACTGCCAAAGAGCAAAATGTTACGTACCTTCTGTTTCTTTTGATTTTCACCCTGTTTTGGAATTTAAAATGCTAAATGTTGTTGATGTCACTATGACAATGTATATTTGCTAGTACCCAGATTTCATTGGCCAGAAAACTCATTTTTTTGGGATGTACAGTTGCTGTATCTGTACAAGTGCCTATTTTAGGGGCTTAAGGATTAGAAATAGCAATTCTGCTCTAACAGGGTAGCAGCTTTAGATCACTGCCGTGTTTAAATCTGTAGTCTATTAGATTTCTGAGATTATCTGGAGTGTGAGTTTATGTATGTATACACTTTAAAACATGCTAATGGAAAGCTCGTGAAGCTGCTTGACAATTTGTGTGATCATCCACAATGCTTTATGTGAACACTGGGAGAGCAAGATGACACCTTTTGTTTTTTAAAAAACACACAAATGTTTTACCTTGCAGGGCCAAATGAGATAAACATCAGCATGGGGGGGAATCCGTATGGACAGCCCGGACCATCTAACCAACCAGGATCGTGGCCTGACAACATGCTGTCCATGGAGCAAGCATCGCGGGGTTCACAAAACAGGTAGAATTGGGGAAGGTTTTAAGATAAGTTTAAATACAACTGTTCACTGTTTGTCAGAAGAATTTAAGACCGGGAAAAAAAATTAATGCAGCATATACAGTGGGGATAACAGACTGGAGTCAGAATCTATTTCCATTTCTGCTGATGATGTGACACTGGATATCTTTTAACCCAGCTTCACAAAAGGCATTGCTAACAAAATCAGTCCGTCCTTGAGTTGGGAGGCATGGAGAAAAGGGGTGGGAAAATCTGAAACCGTGTCTCTGTGGCACATGCAGAAGCCAGGAGGAAACAGAATTTTTCAATTCAAGGATATGTGGCAGTTGACTGGATATTTTAGGACCTAAATTTGGGACTGAAGTTCTTAAGTCTTACTTCAGTCTTCTGGGTGATTATAGTACTTAATCATCTCCAGGTCAATATATTATATAAAAACTATGTATATGCCTTTATCGTCCATAATGGTTGTAATGTTTTTGTGTTTATAGACAATTAGTTAGAAACTCTTTGGATGACCTCTTATGTCCAGCACCGAATATGGAAGGCCAGAATGATGAAAGGGCACTTTTGGATCAGCTGCACACATTGCTGAGTAACACGGATGTCACAGGCCTGGAAGAAATCGACAGAGCATTAGGAATTCCTGATCTTGTAAACCAAGTACGTAAACAGAGATTTTGGCCATTTATCTTCCAAAAACCTGTATTATTTTATTACTTGAAAAGAAAGTGAAGAGGGCCTCCTCACTCACTCTGTCTCCTCACTTCCTTGTCTTCATTTTCCTAAACCTGCCTTTGGAAGCATCTACATTGAGTAGTGATTTTCACTGGAGAAGCTCAGTATTGATTAAATTTCTTGTGCGTTACAAAAGCATAAAATGGCATCTTCTTATCTAAGTTTATTGTAGTATGCCTTGGTATACAGGTTTTTTTTTCTGGGTGCAAATCATTATAATTCTATAAGCAGAGAATTGTGTTGGGTTTCTTTAGTAAACAGTCGTCAGCTGAGCATGGGCTGTGAAGTATTTGAACTGGCAGTGACGTGTTAGTGAGTAGGACACTTCCATCTCCTCCCGTTCCAGCTTGAATTTATATGGCTAGCAAATAGGAAAAAAAAATTCCATGAATAATTTGGAACTTGCTAAAAACCACAAAATCACACTGTCATTTGTACAAACAGCAGTTTAAAAGTGTGGAAGGGCTTGAATAATGATCCTGGTCTGCCTGTGTAAGCAGTGTGCAGCAGAACTGATTTAAAAAAAAAAAATTATTAACAATAACTTCTACTGTTTCATTTGTCTGGAGACAAAACTAATAGTAATCTGTCCCTGCTATGTTCTACCCAAGAAACTATTGGTTGTTCTATGCTGTGTTAGCTTTATTGTTTCTTTAGGAATTCCTACTTAAAGAATATACTGCTAGTGAAAACGCTTTTGTATCTGTTGAAGGGACAAGCTTTGGAACCGAAACAAGATTCGTTTCAAGGTCAGGAGTCTTCAGTTATGATTGACCAGAAGCCTTCGTTATATGGTCAGCCCTACCAAGGGCAAGGGGCAGCAATGCCAGGAGGTTTTAGTAACATTCAGGGACAACAGCCATCCTTTAATTCAGTGATTAATCAGATGAGCCAACAGAGCAATTTCCCACTTCAGAGTATGCATCCTAGAGCAAATGTGATGAGACCTCGAACCAATACACCAAAGCAGCTCCGCATGCAGCTCCAGCAGAGGCTTCAGGGGCAGCAGGTAATCTTTTGCTCCCGTGTTTACACTTTCTTCTTGTTTTGGAATGGAGTAAGGTGCACACCGAATTGTGTTGCTTCATGAACACGAAAATTGACATTACAGCAGGCGATTGAAAGGACGGATCTTTAATTTCACAGTGCTTTTCACGCTGAGTGCCTAATGGCTGTAAGGAGTGAAAGAACCTTTTTAGGACAAGTCTCTCCTTCATCAGCCTCCTTAGCTACAGATTGGATTGGTTCCTGCAGCACACAACATTATTGCTACTTCAAACAGTACTCTGGTACGACGTAGCTCTGGGTGATCTCTTTATCCACGTTCAGATCTAGTATTTTTTCGGAATCACACCAATATCATTAAATGGGCAGCTGCATTTCTCCTGTAAACCGAATGTTTCTTCTTTTTCACTATGTTTTCTGACTAATCATTTGGGCTTATTGAAATATGGGTTTGCTTTTCATTTATTGATTTGATGTCATTTTAGGTATTTTCTTAGGATGAAAGGTGAGAGAGTAGATACAGCCACGTAGGTCTTAACACTGGGTTGAAAGCACTGCTTAAAAAATTGCTGCGCGATTTCAGCATTGAATTCCCCATGTGAAAATGCAGTCCTGATATCAAATACAATGTACAAATAAATCTCGGAAAACTGAGATAGTGCTGTGTGACATGGAATGGCAACGTTTAATCCTTAGGAAATACTGTGCTCTCTCGATTGTTCTGTGACAGTAATTCAATCTGTATGGCTTTGGGGTTTTGTGATGGAGAGGGAAGGAGACAGAATTTTATTATTTTAAGCAAAGCTAGTGGTTATACCCTTCTGCCCAAAACATGACTTGGAACAATTGATAGTCTGCTATATATTTATTCTTAAAAAGCACTAATTTCAAGGGAAGAAAAAAATAAAGCCAGTTACTGCTGCACTGTTTGGAGGGTTTTTCTTTTTGTGTGTGTTTGAGCTGCCTAACCAAATAGTCTGGTACTTCAGGTACATCAAACAAGGCAAAAATTAACCATTGCACTTTATGGATTCAAGAGGTCTCTAAAGAATGGTTTTTTTGGAGGAGTTGCCATTACTTTGTTCAGATACTGGTATTTTCAAGCTAATAGTGCTAAAATGTCTTTTTCCAAGTTTATGAATCAGACCCGTCAAGCGCTTGAAATGAAAATGGAAAATCCGGTCAGTGGCAATGCCTCAGTGATGAGACCAGTTATGCAGCCACAGGTGGGATCACAGGTAAGTAATTGCTGCGCTAGCCATCTGAAACATACTTTTTAAATAGACACACCTTTTACACATCTGTTTAGAATTTGGACCTTCTTTCATGGTTCCACAGCATTCCTTTTTGTTTTGTTTTTTCCCCTGTACAATTCAAAAAGGGGTTTTTTTTTCCTCTCTTATTCATGAGATTTCAGAGGGATTTGTTCATTAGGTCATGCTATCAATACAGTGTGCCAATAGTCTTTTCCATGTAGGATATGATAGCTAATCTACTTTATAATTTGTTTAGCACTAATGACAACTTAATGAAAACCTTCGTCTGGTATTTTGATGGTTTTTGTGCTGGCTGGGGGGTTTTTTTACTTTTTTTTTTGGTAATGGATATGCCGGGTCTAGAGTTAGAAAGCATGTAGGTGGTTTGATTGACTCTGACATGATTTCATTTGTAAAAGTGTTTTCTAATACGCTTTTTCTTTTCTTTGGGGGATAGCAGCAAGGTTTTCTTAATGCTCAAATGGTGGCTCAGCGTAACAGGGAGCTAATAAGTCATCATTTTAGACAACAGAGGATGGCAATGATGATGCAGCAGCAACAGCAACCTCAGGCCTTCAGTCCACCACCAAATGTGACTGCCTCGGGAAGCATGGATAGTGCTTTGACAGGCCCTCCAATGGCTCAAGTTCCTCCACAGCAATTCCCCTATCCACCTAATTATGGTACTAGTACTAACATGGGTTTTTTTGTCTGTCTGGTGTTCTTTTAGCTTTCTTCATTTATTATTAATCCAAACTACCTAAATACCAATCATTCTGAAAAATGGAAAATACTTCTACAAAAAAGGATGACTTTTTCCTTTCCCATCATTGCAAGAAGATAAACTAAAAGTACTAGGTGATGATAACTGACGTATATTGTCTGTCCTTCATCTTTTAAGGAATAAGCCAACAACCCGATCCTGCATTTAGCAGAGTATCAAGCCCTCCCAACCCAATGATGTCATCAAGAATTGGACCTTCCCAGAATCCTATGATGCAGCATCCTCAGACAGCAACAATGTACCAGTCCCCCGAGATGAAGGGCTGGCCGTCAGGAAGCATGGCCAGGAGCAGGTGAACTTCACAGTTATAACCTGTGGCTCAAAAATTGTCTTTCGTCGAAAGTAGAAGCTATGTTAAATAGCTTGTAGTAGGAAAAGGATTTAGAAGAGGGAAAAATAATTCTCTCTCTAGTGTCTGTATTGTCCTTGATCCTGCTCTGGTTTAGGAAATAGACTGATTAAATGTATCTTACGCTTAGCTCCATTTATTCATATTGGACCTCTGCAATCTTTGTAACTGGAAGCAACATTCAGTCTTTGAATATTGAAAAAATAACCTGGAGAGAAGTACAAAAGTTCAGAATAGTATTACAATGCACAGTACAGCCCTAACAGAAGCCTCCAAAAAGGTTACAGTGGGAAATGCATACACATACACCTGCGTGTATCTAAAAATTCAAGGTTCCTTTTGGGAGGGAAATTTCTTTCTCTACGTTAAACAGGTATTAGATCGAAACAAGTAGATGTAAAAATCGTTTTCTCTTTCACGTGTTGGCAGCTGGTGCAGGGAGGAATATATCAATGTGTAAACTTCTTGGAAGGTAATTTTAGTTGTCCTTTTGTGCTTCAGTTCTTTCCCCCAGCAGCAGTTCAGCCATCAAGGCAGTCCAGCAGCATACAGTATGATGCACATGAATGGCAGCAGTGGCCATATTGGACAGATGAATATTAATACCATGCCTATGTCAGGGATGCCTATGGGTCCAGACCAGGTACGTCGTACATAAAGACTGATGAAAAGTTGACTCTTTTTCCATTGAGTACAATTTGCGTCAAGCCATTCCTCTGGCACAATCCCGTTCTTGGTTATCCTGTTTGTATACACATCTGTGGACCTACCATTTGTATGTCCCAAGAGATACCTTATTTCTGATGGTATTTAAATCAAATCCACAATGAACCCAAGCTGTATGCTGTGATTAGCTGTTGCCTTTGAAGTATCATAGGTAGGATCAAGGCTTAAACTGCACAAAGGATGCTTAAATATTTCAGAGCCTGGAGAAACCCCAGAGAGCAAAACATGGAGATTGTGAAAAGCATCTTCAGCAGATGTAAAGGATTATAGATAATAGCTCTCATGAGTCAGACCAAGAATCCTGGTAGCACAGTATCCTTCTTCTGGCAGAAGCTGATGATGATACTTGCCCTTATATAATAGGGCAAGAATAGCTTGTGTATGCATTGCAAGAAACTGTGGAAAATTTAGGCCCCTGATTTAAGGGAAAAATGAGCTAATAACAGGCACTGCAAAGAAGGCTGAAATACTAAGTACACTTTTGCTGTCACCTTTCCACAAAATGCCAAGGGATGAGCAACGTAACACTGAGATAAGCTAAATTTATTCAACTAGAAAGTACGTCATGAAATTTTGTCTGAAGTATCTAAGGAAGCAGCCAAAATAACCTGAGGACTTCTGGGGGATAAGTAAGGTATTGGAGGACTTCGATACAACAAGTACCTTTTATAAAGATGGGAAAATGAAGGTGAAATGTCAGGTTTTCCAAACCCACATGTCATACAGTGAAGATACCCAAATAACGTGTTTAGGAAATTCTGGGACAGCATTTCTCTTCTACAGATTTAGCTTCGAAGTGGAGCACTAAAATGCTGTTCTTCTGCTTAGAAATTGACTGTCAGTACTTTCCTCGTCAAAATGCAGCATGTTGACTAGTTTTTTCAGCAAAGGTGTTTTCTTCTCTGACGATTTCTTCTTTTCTTTAACAGAAATACTGCTGACACCTAGAACCGTATCTTCAGACAAGAATGCGCTGTATTAATGATGCACTAGTATTACAAAGGAAAGCTACGCATTCTTCACGGCAACTAGCACTGGCCTTATAGAAACAAGTGATTTTTCCTGTTAATCACCGTGATGTCCTGAGTTACTTCATTCAGAGGGGGGAAAAAAACAACCCCAAGAAAAAAAACATTTTAGTGGAAGCAGTCTCTGTATTACTGTATATTGTGGTGTACAAAAAGGGTCATAAATATTTTTGGCGCTCTGCCTCTAGCAATGTGAATTTGGCAATGGCATTTGAGTAGATCTGATGGGTAGGCTCCTGGTATACCTTATCTATTTACTGTAGCTATCCAAAGCCCTTCAACTACAGGCAGACAGAAGTGCCTGGAGAAGTCACGGTGATAAGAATTTTCTGATTTCTCTAGTAACGATATCTGACAGAGAATGTAGTTCCTAGCCTTGACTCTTTTGTATTAATTCCTGAATATAAATGCTGCTTTTAATCTCTTGCCCCCAAGAGTCAGGATTTCCCAAGCAAAGTAGCCGTGCAAAATGAATTGGCACATACTCATCCAAAATCCTGTCCATTGAAGCCAAGGGGTAAAAAGAGAGGATAATAAATTTAAATTATTTAAACACAATTGTGACTAATATTTACATATTGATGTGCAGCTGAGTGCACTTTATAAAAGACTATATAATGGATTAATGCAATATCTTTGATAAGGACTTAATATGAAGGTAGGGTGTACTCATGTTCCTTCTCAGACACAATCTCTTAAGAATTATTTGAAAAGACTGCGTAATGTAATGTTTTCTGTGTATGGAAATTAGAGCAATAATCTCTCATCTTTTTGAAAATAACTTCAGAAAACTCAAGGCAAGGCACTGCAGTCTGAATCAGAATTTTGCAGTCTTTTTGTGATTAAATTTTTTAATAAATTTTGTAAATATGATCTTTAAGATAATGTATTATATATATGACTTTTGTAGGTCACTAACTCGTTTTTGCAGAGTTTGTGAAGCTAAATATTTAACAAAATTGATTTCTGTAAACTCAGTGTAGTTGAGGTCCAAATAGATTTTTTTTTTTTTTTTTTTTTTAAATAAAATTAAGGACTTTGAAGCTGGGTGACTTTGGCCCAAATACTTTCTCCTCTTTGGTCTTCAACACTTCATTTATTTTTACATCTTTAACATATAGCTTTTTATAAAAGACCAGTTGTTAAATGCTTTCTCCACCTGTGAGCACTTTGTTACCTTTCTTTTTGCATAAGGCAATTTGAAAAAAAGGCTCTGCGTTGTAAGATGTTAGCGACTTGTCATGACGGTTGTGTCTGTCTATAATATGTTGCCTTTTCAGTTGATGAATCTGGATTGTGTCTTTTTTGGTCAATTTTAATGAACTCTAAATGTTCCTCGAAAAAGTTTGTCTGTTGCAAAATATTTGTTGTTACATGACATCCAGAAATCTTTAAGGATATTAAGCCACACTTTAACCAAATGTCTGCACCTCATTGGATTGTTCTAATAGCAATGAATGTATTTTCTAAGCAGGTTTCTCTCATATCAGTATTAAGTCTGGTTACAAATTTATTATTTGCTGATAGGTTCCCCCCCGCCCTCTATTTTGGTTCCTTGAAATGAAGATCCCTTTGCAGTTTTTCCAGTGTCGGGCAGTTACGACGAGTCAAACCTCTCAACTTCCACAAGGGACGACCCAGCAATGTTTAAGATGTGTGGTGCTTTTGTTCTGTTGTTCACTGTGTAATGGAAAACTGACTTCTCCCAAGTGAGTAAAAAAAAAGAAATAATCTGTGTTCTTGATTGCTTCTTCTTGGTACTGTAAGCAAGAGGTGGTTTTATTGTTCAGAATATTCAGTGATCTTCCATTTTAATAGAAGTAACTTGAACTAGAAATATTCTCCAGAAGTTCATCCTTAGCGTACAGCCAGTTGTGTTCCAAAGGGAATGGAGATTCAGTTGATCTACTTTATGCAGCCCTGTCTCTGCAATTAGTACGGAGTGTATAGATTAGGTGATAGTATTCATTTGACACCTTCAGTCCAATTCACGTGTGTTTTTTAATGCAAAACTTTTAAAAGCCTAATTATAAGGAACTTTTCTCTTTTATTTCTTAGAACATCTCTCTTTGTTGAGTAAGTGCTGCCTACTGAAGTTGCAAGGCAACGATCCCTTGCTTTTAATATCAAATGAGAGTAGAACAATCTTTGTATTTTGTAGTTGTTCATTATATTGATGGAAACTACAAACCCTGATTGCTTTCATTAGGTGAGCTCTTAGACTGTATACTACTTTATACGTCGTGCCCTTTTCATTTTTTTTAAAATGAGTGATTCTATTTCTACATCTGTGTATAACTGGTACCTGGCTGATGTTTTATAAAGGATCATCATTTTCTCATCTGTCTTTAGAATGTTGGAGCTTTCCAGTACCTGCTTTTTTGCTGAATCCAAAGATTTTTAGTTTAAACTTGATTAAAGGGTGGCAGGGGGGCACTTTTAAAACGCATTGATGACATCTTTCTTGGCAGCACTGATCCTACATACTACATCTAGTTTGAAAATCTTACCTACTGCAGTAAATAAAACTGACCTTGAAATCTGCTGACATTTTGTATCTCCACCAATTCTGTTTTGGTTCTATAGCAGCGGATTTTTCTGAAAGTTTTTAAAAACAATCTGTGTAACATTTGTCAACAGTAAGAGAACAAATTGGCTAGTACAACCACCTCTGACCGTTGTTTTGCTGCATGTCTCTCTTACTCTTTTGATCACAGAAACCATGTTTTTATAAAATTCTTAAGTAGTATTTTTTTCCAATCTTGGCCTAAAACACTGCTTTTAAAGTTAGAAAACCAGGACCATTTTTTCAGTCATAAGACAAAACTATTTGAATGTTGTACCAATTAGCACACATTTTATTTCAGACTTTATGTGCAGACTACCAGATGACTGAATGATACAGCAAGTATGAAACCATGTAATTCTGAGAGCAATATTTTAAAAAATTCTCAGGAGAAGGCATACAGTATTGAGAATTGCATTTAAGTTTAGTTTACATTAAGTATTGCTTGAAATATCTTTATGTTGCAAAACAGAAAAATCATGGGGACTGATTTATAAAAGAGTTGGTTGTAAGGTATTACTGCTCTTCTGATTTTTGTGTTTGGATGTTAATAATAATGTAAATAAAGGTTTCTATTTAAAATCAGAACTCGGTGACATAGTGTATTAGCTGTCTAATACTCTAAGGCTGATAACTGTATCCTGGAAAGGTCAGAGAAAATCCAGTGCAATTACTGAGGAAAGCTATTATAGCAAATGATTGAAAGTTTTTCCTACTTGGCCGTAAAAGCTAAGGGAGTAACAACTTAGACCTTCCACCTATGAGGCCCATTTAGCAACTAGAGTTGCGCTGACAGAGTGGAATTTATGTCTTTTTCAACATTGACAGAGTGGAATTTATGTCTTTTTCAACTTAAATAGCAGTCTTCAGCAGAGCTGAGAGGAGAAGAGGTGGTAGCTTTCCCTGTAACTTGGCAACAACCCGCCTTTCATAAAATAACAGCTGCTTTTTGGGTCACATACGAGTCCCACAGCTCAGTATTTTGTGTAAAGGGACGTGGTAACTTTTCAGCCTTCTGACTGACATGTAACAGGAGCGGTACCGCTGGCCGTGCAGGATTTTGATAGTCACGCCCCATCTTGTCAAAGACTATAGGCTTGAACACAAAAAAAGGTAAGTGCAATTTTTTTTTTTTCATCTAACCTAGTATTCTTTCTGCATACTCACTGGGAACGGTAGACAGCTAACACTTTTCTCTGGAAAGCAGAAAAAACGTGTTTCTATTGGTGAGTTTAAATTCAGTATTTTTTACTTTTTTGTATCGATCCAGGATCTCATCGTCTAGCAGATGTTTCTGATAATCCGTGAATATGTGACAGGTTATAAACAAAATCTGTGGCTAGGTTAAGACAGGCAATCATACATTACTTCCATAATTAACAAAAACTTGCAAGAAAATTTTGGGAAGTGTATTTGACTTACGCGTGATACAAATACAAGCTCAGGCCTAGTTTTACTATATAGCACATACAATGAAAGACCCCGCTGCCACTTCTTCAATTTAGGAACAGAGGAAAAAGAAAACACTCAAGTATATTTTTTAAGTATGGGGGCGTGGTACCAGAGATCTGTATCCCTTGTGAAGTAATTCCACTTGAATTTCCTAACGTGCAAAACCAGGAAGGGTATCAAAATAATTTCCGTGATGTATTTTTACACCGTGTTTCTAGAAGTGCAAGTTAAGTTTGTGTTTTGAAAAAAAGTACCTCTTTGTTAAGAGTGAAGGCCACAGTTGGTCGAGTCTGTCACGGGAGCTCCCTCCTGCGTGTGCCTTTAAAACAGGTAGCAGGTTAACATGAAAAAAATTATAAATACAAATATCACCGCTAGTGCCTGTACTGCAATGTATTTAATAATGTCTTTATGAAAATACTCAAATAGGCTCTGTACACTGTGCTTCCTTCGTAAAATGATGGGGTTTTCCCTTTAAAAGCCTTTAAACAGTAACTGTCATTCAGAACATCTACTTTTTTGTAGACTTGAACTGTAACTAGATTATTCTTTATTGGCTACAAATATTGAACTTCTTGGAGCTGCCTTTTTTAAAAATAAATGTAAAAGTTACACTACTAAGCAAATGCTGCTTTCTCAAAGGAATTGTTTTGGTTTTGAACATACAATATAATATTACCACATAAAAAAAGTCATACAAATCCAATTTCATTAAAATTTAAGATGTACATTTACTGAAATTTTTCAGTACTTTCAAAAATGGATAAATTCTGAAATGTACTATGCAACATTAAGTAACATTTTGAGAAATGGTGTGTGGGCATTCCACTCTTTTTATTAACAAAATTCTTCACAACCTGAAGGAATTTATTTTCAAACAGTATATTGATCAATATTTACACAACCCCTCCAAAAACCTGGCGTCCTGTTAGTCAAGATTTTCTCTAATGTTCCTAGAGGTGTCAATAGGCTGGACAAGTAGACGGGGAACTACAATGTATCCTCAGAGGAAATTTGAGAAATATCGTGGTGTTGAGAATATTCAATGCTGCTCGCTTCAACTCCTGAATCTCTTAAAAGTTCTTTTCCACCTTTACCCCAGTTAGAAGCAAAAGCGTCCATGTTTTCTAAACCTTGCTTTAGAGTTCTACTTGGCTTTGAAGCTTTTCTCATGACATCTGAAGATACAGTTGAACTGAAAAATGTTTTAAGATTACTTCCGCTGTCTTTGTGTACACTTTGGGATGGCAATCCTCTTTGGGATGCGGCTGTATTTCCTCTTCTGTCAATTCCTGGATCAGTGTTAGTGGTGTCATCTTGAAGTAAAATGCCTGGTGAAGCAGGTGAGGTATAATCCAAAGCAAAAAGCAGGTACAATAGTGGATTTCAGAGACCTGTGTTTCTGACAGCATTTCCCATAATTTCACTGCGTCTATTTAATTCACTCTCCAGTGCAAACATTCTATCTATTTCAGCCTCAAAGCTTATCCAGTCCTCCAGGCTAACATTGTAATTCTTTCTGAAGTCATACCCATTTTCCTTTAGTCTGTACATGGATTCAAGTTCTGGCCAGTTTGTATCCTCGTGGAGGTGCAGCGGTTGGGGGAGGTTAGCCCTCCCATCCTTCCCACAGTTGTCCTCTTTAAAATAAACCAAACACGATTTAGTGTATAACATTCTAGGAGGAAGTAGTTAGAAAGATAATTTTCATGGTTCCATGCAGGAAAAAACAATTGAAACACTGTGGACCACCTATAAAAATGTAGCAGGTGTATCACAGAAACAATCCAACGATACTTGAAACTTCAACCTGTACAAAACTTGTATCTCATTAATTCTAGCTTCATTTTGGTTCTAAAGCCAGTCCTGGATCTCTTCTTCAACTAGAAATAAAAATGCTACCATTAAGGGAGCAAATCCTCTTGGGTGAGTTGAGAATGCTAGACTCTGCCTATTAAGGTACTTGTACATATTTTTCACTGCACAATTTGAGAGCACCTTATGATTTTTAATGAGCTGAAGTCTCAACCTTCTTTTTGAGAGGAGGTTCAGAGACAGTAAGGCGTGGCAAAGGTAACTATTTTTCGTGTCTTTAAATTTGTATCTCACCTTTGGGCTCTGGCAAGTTGAGAACTGAATACCATCTTACGTTTTAAAGGGCAGTTAAGTAAGCAAAAAGCAATTAGATTTTAGTATAATGTCAGAATACAACAAAATGTACAGATCTATCTTGTAGTCTACTTTCTGTTCACAACACGAAGCTGTGGTTGGGTAAATAGCAAGAAAATACACAATACTCTCTCTACTCTGAGACATTACAATCAGTTTTGTTCTTTCTGGATGGTGTGAAAGACCACTAGGTAGCTGCTACAAGTTTAAATTTAGACAAAACTGACATAATGGTCTCTAATTTTTAATGGCAGGTGAAAATACCATAACTGGCTTCTTCAACCGAGCATCCACCTTTGCTCAAGTTTGAAATTGCCTTGACCTTAATGCTCCTAGATTCCAGAAAACATGTACCAAGAGGTTTTGTACAGCGGTAGTTGTCTATAATGATGGCAGTATCATATTTCTTGCATAATTTAGAGGACTTCCCACCTAAGCATTCCATGAGAATAGATGATGATGTTAAAAAAGTGCTGCATGCAAAAGGAGAAGTGAAGGAAAGAAAGGTAAGTAAAAGCTTTTCGTGAACTGCTCCCAACTCACAGTGACTTGGCAGATGATGGTCTCTTCACATCTGGCCACTTTCGACGCTGAAACTGCCTAATTTTCAAGCAGCAAAAGGAGAAAAAAAGTTAACCATCACCAAGAAAACCACCAGCATTACAGTCTGAAAGATGAGGAAGGAGAAGAGTTCAGCCTGAATTTTGACTACAAAGATTAGAACATGCTGTAACATTGAAATAGAAATAGCTCCAGTATTTCAGAGTAAGTGGGATGGAAAGACCTTGCAAATGCCATTCCAGGCAGTGTCTGTCCATGTGGTTCCCAATCCCACACTCTAACTCCTTTAGCATGAAGGTAGTACTTAAGAATAATAATTTCACTATTCTTTTAAAATGTACCTGTACTGCTCGTAGCTTCCATCTTTAAGTCCTAGATGAGGAAAAATTAACAATGTTACTAACCATTGCCTGCAACAGAATAAGGCATCAGGTAAGGCACAGTTTAAAAAAAGACCTAAGAATATTAACAGATTAACATGTATTGCCATACGTGTTAACTGGTGCTGTTATTTTTGCATTTAATCCCTTATTCTAGGTAAAATAGGTTGTAAATTGGGATAGATATCTTGGAAACTTTTCTGTAAAGGTCCTTCAGTGGTGTATTTAAATGCCAAAACCTGTTGATTTCAAAATGTACAGCTCTGTGTGGTGCATGTACTAAATAAGACCCGAAATAGTATTTTGGGCTTTAGTGGACTCGGGTAGATAACAGTATTTTTGGGGTGGGGGTCCTCAAGCTTTTTTGCTTTTTGGAATTGAAATCCATAGTTACAAGAGCCCATCCTTCGGTAGCAAAATGCATCCCTTCTTAGATGTGCTGTTATTGCACAACTACCTTGCGGTAACACAGGTGGGGGAAAACTGATCAGCTTAAGCACTAGCATCCTTTTTGAAGTTAAGGTTATTTTTAAGCCGGTTTACCACAAGGCTGCATGGTCTGCACTGTCTCAAAAGAAATGTTTCTAAAAATTATGCCTTCAGTTGGAATGCTGAAACTCAACTGCTAAACCAGTTGCCCAGAGAGGTTGTGCAGTCTCCATCCTTGGAGGTTTTCAAGATCCAACTGGATAAAACCTGAGTAAGCTGGTCTGACCTCACGGCTGACCCTGCGTCGAGCAGAAGTTTGGAGCAGATGACCTCCAGAAGTCCCTTCCAACTTGAGTTGTCCTATGAGCTTGGTAGTGGCTATTAGGGTATTCTTTCCCTCTTTCACCAGTTTCGTTCCTCCCTCATCTCCTTCCCCTGCATCTCAGCATTACTCCTCACTATGCTCTAAGTATCATTCTTCATTTAAGTAACATTACATAACACAAATTGAACAAATACAAAAATTTGAGCGTGCAGCCATCAGCCTCAGCAGGACATTACTAGTATAAATAAACACTAAAATGCTTTTGACTGATAGAAGTTTCATAATGGTAAGAAAGAGCCCCATTTCTTTTGGGGAGCTTTTGAGTCTAATAGGAGAGGCACTCACCCAGATCCATGTTCCTAGTTCTTGGATTGCATTGCTTATACCCTTTGCAGCTCCTTAGTTCCATGAGCTGGACATGCAGTTGATTGAGAACGTCTCTGTCTAGTGTATTCACTGCATTAATTAGCTGCAATGAACAGGGACTCTTGTTAGGAACTACGGCTCTGTAGTTTGGCAACTGTCATATATGGAATACATGCGGTTTATTTGTAACAGGAAAGAAGCCAAATCATACTATGTTAAATGATTTAGGCCTTATCTACATCCTGCACCACTTCAATTTATCATCAATAAGGAGCAATGATGTATTTCTAGAGCTGTTCTATGATCAGGTACCTGATACGGATCGGTATTGAGATCAAAATACTCCAAAAATCCAGTAGCAAATTCACAAAACAGGAAGTTGTGGGTCTCGTTGATAGTCCTCAGACACCAGTACGTGTTGTTGTTGGCACTGGTACAGGCACAGAAAGGGCCCACTGCAAATTGAAGAGTTATAAAGACATAAGCTACACGCTGCTGTCTTTAGCACTGTTCATTACTTTCTGTTTACGGTATTACTTTATTCATAGACAGTTACTCTGTCTGACTCCTGAGCTCCAAAGCAGAGAATGCCCCTTCCAGCATCAGCTTCTTGTTCTATGCATACCTAACCCACACGGCATGGCTAATTTAAACAATGTCTTGGCTAGTTGCTTCCCCTGCCTTCTCTGGCTGGGAAACATTCCAGATGGTGAGATACTACACACAATTGTACTGTACACAATATCTGTAGGGTTTTATTTTCAGCTGGTTTTGTTTTTAACTCCCTTGCCTTTTGTGCAAGGATAATGCCAACACTGAAACAGAGATTATTTAGTATGAGGAAGGCTGCGTAGCTGTGGCTACGTAACTATTGATATTGGTAACTCCTAGTAACCCAGAATCCTAGCCCAGCCAGTACCCGCCTACCTATTACTTAGTTTAAAGTATCCTTACGTGTCCACAGGGGAGCGGTTTGCCAGTGTTGGTTGTCATGGGTGAAGCAGGTCAGACCAGGCATGCTGCATGTGTCGTTATTTTTTATTCTCTTAAGCAGTTTGCGCAGCTTCTTCTTTCGTCTTTGCTCTCGAAGCAGCCACAGCCTGTCTTTCTCCTGTAGGGCTTTCCTGCACACGTGAAACATTAGAGTCATGCAGACTTTGTTATACTTGAACACACCTAAAAAAAATGAAGCAGCTAATAAATTAAGCTACTTTGAGGGAAAGAAATAACTGGTATTTTTTAATTAAATGGCTTCTCTTCCAAATGTCTCTGAATATAACTCTTTGCAATTCAATGTCACTGAAAAAAAAAAAAAAAGAAGCCAAAGGGGTTTATATGGGCTTGCCTGAAGTCTGTGACGTGACATTTCCCAAACCAGGAACCTTATCTCAAATTTACAAGCATTTCAACGTGGGCTTAGTTCCTTGCCCAGGTGTCTGTTTATTCTTCTTATACAGGATAAATGACATACTGCTACTTTTGCTTAGCTTGTAACTGGTGTGCATGGACCAAATGTTAACGTCTTTGCATTTCCTCTTTCAGAGGAACAGTCCTTCACTTACTTGAAAGGATGAAGACTAGATCCCTTGTGCCGCAGTTTGCTTTTGTGTTTTGAATGGTAACTGGAAAATAAAAACAGCATTGTTGATGAACAACAGAAAGACAATTGCTCCTGTTCATACCGCACTTCTGTACTGGATTTGAAGCAGTTTAATCCAGTGTCACTTCTCCCTTCAATTTATTCGTGTATGTATGTGGTGAACACAAAGCAGCCTTGCTAGATTGGGCCAGGCACTTCTGGGCCTTGTTGTGCCTCTTTCTTTCCTTCGATCATTTGTGCACAGTGACATCTGGTGCTCTAACACTGTATTGCAATATGTAGCCACAGATGATTCCAGCTACACTTCTCAGTGTTAGTTGTCATCGTTTCTTGTTTCCCTACACGGGGCAGATAAAATCAATAGACTTATAATTCAATTACAACATTTCTTCAACTGAATAGTCACTGATTTGTTCAGATGGTAAGACGACAAGCACGTACCACCATCCTGTCGGTTTCCTTCCGAATGAAAGAATTTAAATACCAGTTGTACTTTGCAGGGTTGGGTTTTTTTTTCTCCGTTGTTACTAGCTAGAAGTTCCAGGAAGACTTTAACAAGATGGATGGAACTGTCCCAGCAGTAGCCGTGTCTAATATATTCTGAGATATGGAGGGTGTAAGCAGACATACACATTCTAGCTGGGCAGCTCTACTGTTTTGGCTCTGTCTCCAGAAACTCTTACAAGATTTTGCAAAAATTTCCTTTCTGTGTAGTTTGCAGAGTTAAGAGAGTCAAAACAGCCTTAGTCAATGGCAATGTTTTATGACTGATAAAGTTACTACCCACACAAATCAGCAAAGACAAACTAGGTGCAATAGATGTTATTTTCTAAGCAGTACATCAAAATTGTTAGATGTCAGAATAAAATTCCCTTCAAAACAAAAGAAATCTTTTAATGCTACTGGGAGCTTTAATAAATTTAATCCTTATAGCAAATTAACAAAATAAAATTATTAAAGAACTATCTATCTTCAGTCAATTTTTTTATCTTGCACAGACACTGGGTATTTCATTAACTAATCCTAAATGCTAAATCCTAATTCAATGCAGTTCTGCAAACACTTAAACACATATAACTCAAATCATTAACTTCATTGATTTCAGTGGGATTATTCATCTGAATAATGCTATGCACAAATGTAAGTGTTTCCTATATTGGGCCTGAAAAATATAACATTCTTTACATTTACTATAAAACACTCACTAATAAAAATGACTTAATTGTTACAGTATATATTAAACAAACTCAGTTGTTTGTTAACATCAGTTTTGAAAGCAGTGGATTATAAAACTATATAAACTTTTTGGGGATTTGCCATTTAGAATTATACCGATTTAATTTTAAACACTTTTTGCCATGGGTTCCATGTGTGGGTTGACATAACCCAAGAAATTGATGTTCTCTGTATTTTAGTTATCTGTTGCTGAAGCTATATTGCAGAATCCACATGGGCCATGACAACTATGTACCTCGTGTCCTTAGAGTATGTTGCGCCTCCAAGGATTTAAGTGTTACGCTCAAAAACTCATCCCATTATACCAATGACACAGAGAACAGAGAAGTACTGTCCATACCCTCTCATAGAGGCTACTTAGTTAAAGCTGCTTTAGCCACCGCTAATAGCATGGCTGCCTTGTGGTTTTGAGTACATTCAAGTACAGCTTTTTTTGTGATACTTGTACCGCTACTGCCACTGTGGCTGCCGTACTCCTGGGGACATCTGGCTCACAGCAGCCTCAGAGATTGCTCTGTGATCACTATCATCACTATGCTCCTGGTTTCTTTCTGAACAGCTTTCTCAGGGGCAAATTCTGTTTGGGTTAACATTTGATTTTGAAAGATTTTCTGCCGTGCTTATTTGCAGAGCAAGAGCTTGCTTGCTCCCCAGGACTCAGGTGTGCTTGAACCTTCTTTCCATGCAATCAGTGGGCATTTTGCAAATATTTGGCTATATGAGAAACCAACTATGCAGAGACCTTAATGCATAATCACTATTTTAGTATTGCCTGTTGCACTTAAAATTCACAACTCATCTGCACTAGGGAACACAAAGATCTGGTGCACTAAGTCAGCAGTGGTTACAAAAATACAGTTAGTCTGCACCAACTCTTAAATTTCTGCTTCTCCCACCTGGCATAACTGCGAAATATTGCAGTGGTTGCATCCTGTGAGATGATACAGCCAGCCTTGAAGAAATTGAATGGGCAGAAATTCTCTCATCTCCCCACCCTATTACTCCTTTACACACTATTCTTTTTAAAACAATTTGTGTAACACTGCACTATATTGAGAATTTGCCCTGGTGGAAAACAAGTTTTCAGAAAAAAGCCTGCAGCCTAAAATATTAATCTCTGGTATCTAATAGCAGCATCTTCAGTACAAGAGCATAACTAACTGATTTATAAGCCATGTTACATGTCCTGTTACATCATCACCACTCGACACAGAGGCAATTAAACCCCTGCCTGGCAGAAGGTGGGCCTTGTACTTCTGCAGCGGTCCAACTCCCCCAGAAAGCGTTATACAAGGCCATAGTAAGTAGGCAACCACTTAACACAACAGATTCTGATCTCTCCTGTGAAGACATAAATCAGCTACAGTTGCACACTACAAATAATTGCTCTGAAGTACACAAGAAATACCTTATCTTGTTACAATCACACTCTTCAGGTCGCTTCTTCTTCAGATGACCTCTCACCTCCCTCAGGTTTTTTATTTTATTTTGCAAAGTTTCAATCTAAAAAAAGTAAAGATACAGGTTAAAGAAATACAGCATGATTTTATTCTAACCTTCTCAAACCCATTCTATTGTCACAAAATGCTTCCTTTTCACCACCTCCCATGAGTACCACCACTAACAAGCATTTTCAGATTATCTACCTTTCCAAAAGGAAACTACAGCAGGAGGAAACCTCCCTGGTAGCTTGCCTGCTTTGATTACTGAATGTGAAAGTGGAACGCGGCACTGGGGGAATGGGGGGCACACAGCCTCAGGTAGACAACCACTCCTGGTTCCATCGTGATTTTTCCTCTTGTGCTCTACAGCACATTTGCAAGAGGAGAAAGGTTACTCAAAGGAAAATTAAGCTCTTAAATTTCAGCCTGTTATGAACCTGGGAAGGGTATGGGGAGGGAGTGCTCTGAAGTCCCCTCTTCAGAGCTTCTGAAAAAGAAAAGCAGCAAGGCTCTGTCATTTTGCATGGCAGTTTTCAGCAACGTCTGGCCACATGGGATATGGATTAGCAGTTAATTGTGCCACCCACATGGTTTATTTTTAACTGCCTTTTTTTTTTTTCAGTAAATGAAACTCCTGCTTTTGTTCAGTCTAGCTCACACACAGTGTCACCCATTTCCACTCAGATGGGTATTACAGGCTTCTACCTCAGTTCTTTACACAGCAGAAAAAACAAAGTAATCCAGTGTGAACAACCAAGTCACTGCAAAACTACCATTAGACATCAGCGACCGTAAGTCTAGTGGAAGCACATGCCTGCTGAAGCACGGACAGGACAGAGTGGTCAAGAAAAATACAGAAAGAATCCAGCCCTGTGACCCTAAATCAGAAACACAGCAGGACAGAAGCAAGCTCTCATTTTCTTTGGCATTCCATATAGCCTACATTTGCTGAAGAAAAAAGAATTAGAAGAGTACGGTGATATTGAAATTGCCCTTCTTTAATCCTAACAGAGCTAGTAAGTTTTTCAGTATCTACCTGCCTTGCTACGTGTCGATCTGTACCATAAAAGGCAACCAACAAGCTCTTACATAGGACTTTGCTGTGAATTCATGTCATTTGGTAAGAGATTACAGGAGGTCCTTTATGCTTCCCTTTGCCATTTGTTCCACCATTATCTGGTCCTTAGAAGACTGCCTCTTTCATACACAACGTGTGAAGGGTTTGAGCTTATATTCTTCAATATAGTGACAAAAATGTCAGATTAAGTTTTATAGGCAAATTTCATAGAGCAAATTACCTCCAGGTTCTTCACATCCACAAGCCTAAGGAAAACAAATCCAATTCCAAAGTGCAAGGGTTAAACACGAGCAAGCAAAATAAATAATTCTAGAAGCACCGAAGCTAATGAAGCTCATTTTTCCTTGGGCTTATGTTTGACAGCTGAAGGCCTCTTTTTGAGAGGTACATTGGGGAGCAGGGCTAATAAGATGTGAAAGAGATCCAGATGAAATTTTTCCCAGGATGGGGACACTTACAAGTCTCTCATTTATCTCATAAGGCTTATGACATTTCTCAGCTGTCACTTCAGTTGCAGTTCTCTCCTCCACTCAGCATCTTGTCTTCAAACACCTGTAATAACTTACTTGTCTCTGAAATACCTATTCTGAAATCAGCCAGCAAGTTCAAAAGGTTCCAGGGAGGGACACAGACACCCAGAGGCAGACAGACACAAACACAGTCAGCATGATCCTATCAGCTCACAGAAAACCACGCTAAAAAACACACACTGAAAATGCATGACTGATAACATCACTGACCTCATGGTCAATATGAAGTTTATGGTCCTTCCAAGCTTGCAGTGACCTGTACAGATCTGTGTCACACTGAACGGTATCATTCTCCAGGATATAGCACCTTGGCATGGGAAAGCAAACAATGTTTATTACAGTGGATACACACATACAGAGCAATGCAAACAGCTGGTTTTAATAACACAGCTCCAGGACAGATGAGAAGCCAGACTGGAAATGACATGCAGAATTCAAAAAAACCAATGTTCATTCAAGAGAAGAAGAGTGTGCTATGAGCCAGGGAAGAAGTCTGGGTTTGAGTTGCCATGGAAATTTTTCAGAAGTAGAAAAATTCAAGGAGAATATTCCTATCAAGCAGAACCTGTTGACTGCTTAATTTCTATATGTAAATTGTGCTGCACAGAGTTCTTGCTTATTCATTAGGCTGTCTACATAAATAATCTCTACTAACTAGCAAGCACAGAAACCATTACTCAGAAGCAATTTCCCAATGCATAATTAAGTGATACAGGGGTAGGGGCAAGGATAAAGTACTTCTTTATAAGATGTATTACTACAGCATAAAGAAAAGGGGGGAAAAAAGAAACAAAGAAATTTTGCTGTTTTCTACAAAAGGGATAAAATTTTTCAAAGATATCTCCCTGACTTCAGAGCCAAAATACCCTTTGACAATTTTAAGTACTTATGTTTCACTAACTTCTAATGCAACACAGGTTTTAAAATTCTTTCAAAAACAAACAAAAAACACGACAGATTTACCTGAGAAGTTTATTAGGGGTCAACAAAAACCACATAGTAATTTTTGAATACTTGTTTAAATTAAAGCTGAGTATTTTCAACACCCCTGCATTTTCTTTTAACCACCTCATGCATGTTGTCCCACTGCCTTCTTTTCTGCAAGTGATCTGGGGGACTCCTCATGAATTATACACAACCTTCCTGACAGTTCCTTGTATAGATTTGGGATTCACCCAGTAAGGCAGCAAAAATCAATTTAACTTGTTCCAGAAGAAAAGCACAAATGGTGATTTATGGGTCCTGAACATTCATGAGAGCTGGGGTAAGAGGGCACAATTCTCTGATGTCAACCTAGCTACGTTTCCTCGTATTAGCGAGTCTCTCACCCTATAAACAGAAGTCAAATGGAAACCACAGATTTCAACAGCAGCTAACTGGCTCATGCATGTTTACATCAGCTACTCATTAAACAATTTAATGCATGTAATCAATAATGATTGGAGGATTTCCTGATAATTCACAAGCAGAAATGGTGACTAAACTGATTAAGTACAATTGAAGTCCCTAGACTTGCACACTGAGGAAAAGATTTTTAGCTATTAGAGTGCCCAGACAATTCCCTCACCTCTCTCTCAGTATGTTCCATTTCCCAATGCTCCTGGGTCCATCCAACTTCATTCATAATACAGATTTTCCTTTCCTAGCACTGGCTACGGAAAGCTTCCTCCCTTAGGACTAATTTGGTGTTTGAAATACAAAGCAACCAATGACATGAAACTAGGTCATACTCCAATTAGAGCCTTTGGTCTTCAGACAGGCCAGGTTACCTGCTGCACACTGAGATTTCTACAGGTAGAGCCTCTCCTGGTTTCACATAGGTACACACACAACTGTTGCAAACAGCTTTGCTTGTCCTCACTGGAAACATGCACTGATCAGTGACGACTGTCTCCAAAGTGCAGAAGACATAAAAGCACTGCTGTAGTTCTTCAGTAGCTTCATGCCCCTCTGTACATGACAAAACTAAAACAAACCCGAAAGCTGTTGTACAGATGAGAATAAGAATTTTAGTGAAGCTAGACTGGGTATCCAAAACGGACACAATATACTTATCACAAGTGAACACACCCATTTATGTAAAGCAGCCCCTTAAGCAGCAAAAGCTTTTAGAAATATACCACGTGCACCCACCTGTGAGTCACTTTTATTAGATTAGGGGCTGTATACTCTGCAATTCCACCAGTGCCACTGTATTCCCCCACGTCTTTGTCTTCCTCCTCACGAAGAACAGCCCTATGCATCTTGTGCCGCTTGGTGATGTTTCTTGGTTGGTATCCATCCTCTAAACCCAAGTTATAAATGGTTCCATCCAGCTCAACAGATACAGAACGGATAGAGCGATTCCGGACATAGCTTGGTTTGTATTCTGCATGGAAAAGGAAGCAAAAGGATTAAGAGGGGGAGAAACAGCATGTTACAATTTGGTCCTCTTTGTGGCTCTTGGGAGAAAAAACCCAGCCCATACTGTGACAATTTGAATTAACTGGATGACAAACGGTGTTTGTTGCAGCTGTCCTCAGAGCTGCTGCTTCATTACCTTTGCATGGATAGATGGATACCTTAAGGCATGAGAGAGAGGGCAGATATAATGCAAATGCGCAAGGATGGCAGAGGGGAAAGAAAATGTACTTTTCCAGTATCACTTTGAGAGCAAACAGCTCGTTCAAGAAGACTCTGCTCTTCCCCCCAAGAGTCACTAGATGGCAGTAAGACTTTAAAAACTAACCATGACAGGTCACGACAGCAAGGTCTTAGGTCGTCCTTACAGACTGGTTCTCTATTTGTTTTCTACTGTCCACGGTACAATGCTCCAGTGCTAGGATTCCTGCAACACTTCCCTGAAGTTGTGCCAAGTATTCCCAGTGTTCAACCTGAGCCTTTTCTCAATTCTGTGCTCATTCTTCAGGGTAAGATGCTTGATTTTTTCCACAGGGATTAATATCTGAATCTTTACTTTTATCCACATCTAATTCTTTTCTTTGCAATTATTTTACTGATGTGCAGACCAGTCAGTAAGTTTCTACACAAAGCGCCACTCTCCAGTGCTATGCACTCCCTCAGACCTTGCTTCTGCATTTGCAGCCCAAAGGCAAAATGAAACATTTGCTAGGAATTGTCACTGTGCAGTATAAGATTCTCATTGATATTTTCACCATTACTGCTTTCCAAATTTCTCTGTCCCGGACCAAATCCCCAGAGCTCCTCTTCTGTTTGGTCTGGAATGGCACAAATATATCCTAGTTATGGAGTCTAAATCCATATCTAAACTTCCCTACTGTATGATGGGGTCCCTCTCTGACTGTATTTCCTGCTCACTGCCAACGACTGCTGAGAGTCGCTCATTACACTAAGCATAATCATCTTATTCCTTGAGAGAAAAAAGTACAACCTAAGTACCATAGCCTCTCTTCTCCTCCCTGTCCAGTGCCTGAGTCTTTGCTCTATATGTGAGGCTTCAAGTCATCTAAGACGTTACTGGAAACAATCCAGTCCCTTGGCTCCTCTGGTCACCCCTCCTTTACACAGAGCTGAAACACACAGCACATCTCACAAGAATGGGACCCCTTCTGCAATCTGGTAAGGGGAAAACTCAACCAATGTGCCAAATGCGAAGATCAATCTTTCTTGCAATCCCAAGCTCCACAGAAAAAACAACTTTCTCTATGGGATAATCTCCACAGCAAAACAAGCAGGGGAGAAAAAAAGGAATGGGAGGTAGAACAACCAAAATTGACAAATATTCATGTCAACTGGCATGCTTCGGCATTAACGCAGGGTGACTTTTTTCAAGAAGTCCTACATTAATTCTAAACGGATTGCAAAATCTCAAAAGCCATTTTGCAGACTGTGGGAAGAGAAATAAACATCTCCTCCCACCTGTAACTGGTCCAAGCACTATGTTCTTGTCAGCACCACACACAGAAAGTAGAATACCAGCTGGATTGTCTGGCTTTGCACATTTTCCACCTGCGGTTCAAAGTTTATTGCTGATATTAAGCCAGGTGAGTCACTGCCGAAGGGAAAAAAAAACCCAAACCAAAAGACCAACTCTATTTCAGGCACCCATTCAGGAAATGTTTGACTAAATGAGAAGGAAACTCCCATCTGTTCAGAAGTAGGAGGAAGTTCCAAAAAGCTGCACCCTAACAATTATATTCAAAGTATAAACTCCCATTTCTTTAATTGTTCTCTCATTTCATCTTGTTAAGCTCAGCCAACTAACAATTTACCCTGCTTCCAAGTCTAATATGCCAATCCAGCATGTTGGGACCTCAGCAGATAGCTGCAGGGAACTGTCGTCTACACACATCCCTGAAGAATTAGAAGCCAGGAGTCACTCTTCCCTTGCAGCCAAACTAACCCAGCCTTACAAAGTACAAATTGGTCTGGAGTGAGACAGCTCATAAAGGACTTCTTATATTGCTTGATCGCAACTTACTATCCACAGTGCTGACTCAGCGCTGTGATTAGTACCAAACTCCATTATTTTGAGAGGAAGTGGTTAAAATATTTAATAGGATCAATATTCATCTGTGCGGTGCTCTCCCACCTGCAAAGTGCACCGCAGGCATAAATACCAATGTCTAAATACTTATTAGTCGATCCTCCCGCAGGTTTAAGTTTTACTCTCCAATTCATTTACCTGTGTACACAACCCACAGACAAAGTAGATCTAGGGCTGTTAAATATTTGGCCCAAAATACCTATACTCCCTTTTTCAAGTTATTAAAGTTCGGCTTTGGCAAGTTCTATGAGTCCCGATGCCTCTCTCCTTCTGGTCTTACAGAAGCCAACTGTCTTACAGATGGTACTGCTGACAAGTTGCACCCTCAGAATTGAGTCTGGAAATGGACCCCGAAGAAATTTAAGCCTAAGAAAGCTAACTATGTTTCAGTGCCCCACTCATGCAGCTGTGTCTTCCTGGGCCACTTGACAAGCATGCTTGTCTTCGTTGGAGCCTGAAAGGAAGTACCCTGTTCTGGTTCAGATTTCCCCAGACAGTCTAGAGACTCAAACACACCTGATTTTTTACAACTATTTTTTGGTAGCATCTCAGGTTTCAACACTGCCTAGCGAAAGCACGAACTGCGGTATCCAAAATTATTATTCAACTGAATAAAGCAAGGCAATGTTGTATTATAAAACCATAAACTTCGTATCTGACATAAACATGCCCAGCCTTTGGGTTTATATTTAACTTCCCTCACATCCTCATCACTCAAGCCTTATTACTTATTTTGCAGCCACCAAATTCATGATTTAACACTGAGATTGTTTGGAAATGACAGTTCACTCAGGGATAACTGAGAAGACTGTAACCAACTGTAACTACTGTATGGCATTTTCCCCGAAGCAGGGGCATGACTGCTCAGCGGGAACATTGCAGAAGACAAAGAACTCTTGGTCTTCCCTGCTGACACTTACTGTACATAGGTATTTTTGATCCGATGTATTTTCCATCACCACAATGACAATAGAATAAGCCAGTATGCAAGGATTCTGCTTCTACACGTGCCACGAGGAAAATACCCACCACTGGCTTCATTAATTCCTGCTTGATACTTCCCAGTAATGTCTCTATATCTTCCAGAATTTTGGAGAGAAACAGCATTTTTTTTTCTATAACACCAAAGTAAAATTAGACACTTGAGATATTTTCAAAAATTTGACTTCCAAGTGTCTAGAAATACGGATAAAAGTTTAGAGGTGTTTTTTCTTGGGCATTATGTACCTAGGGATTTCTAGAAACCTGATTTTGAATCTGTGTCCTTAGGTATTTCAAAGAGGAAAAAAAACCCAACCCAAAACACTTTCTTACATCCAGTTTCTCACAAATGCCATTAAAAATTTTACTTAAAATGCATTATCTTTAAAGTAACTGATGTTCAGGTTTGGGTTTTTTTTTTCCTTAATAACAAAGAAGGTCATTTTGCTCCAGCATTAAAAGAAAAAAGAATGACATGAAAACTGGAATAAAAATGCACTAGCCCCTTTGTACACACTTCTGTTTGTTGTTTACAAATCTGTGTGGCCTATCATCATTTCTCTAAATGCAGCTTAATAACTCCTTTAATCACATGCACTTGTTCATCACAGGAAAAGGAGATCAAATCCACAGCAAGAAAAACACAATAGACCACAACACAGCCAAAGATTTTAAGAGCTTACTATTACTTTAAACTTTCTTCCTACTGCAAAGCTTTGTTTCATCTTTCTTATAAAAATAAAAACATACTAAAGAAAATAAAGAGGACACACAAATGCAAACATTCCTGACACCCAAGCCCAGATATACCAAATATTAATGCTTATGTGTTTCTAGCATGTAAAAGCTTTGCAGGTGAGTTGTGTATTTGTACATGGCCCAAATGGCATGTACATGACATGACCCTGTTTTGCAACTAAATTTACTCAATTTAGAGAACAATTGTTGCCTGCTAAATGCACTGGTACACCTGACAATGGGTCTAGACCATGCCTACATGAGAAAGTAATTATTTTATCAAAACATTTGGTGCTCCAGCTCCTCTATCAGCGATTTAGTCTGGTCTTTTAGACCACATGTTCTCACTATACGACTGGTTTTAATCTTTCTGAAAGACCAATTCTCATACCTCCATCACGGTTTGCAACACACTTGATGCACCCTAGAAGCAGGGCATCCAATTTAGTTTTCTGCAAATGACTGTAGATTAGAACCTGTCAAAATTGCTCTCTGCAAATCCATCTCTATTATGCGTGATAGAAGGGAGTCATCAGGGTGTTTTCTTCAAAACTATGCCATTGCTGTGAACGAAAGCATTAATGTGGACGTGACCCTAGTCCAGTTTGAAACTTCTAGTTTCTGTTTAGCCATTGTTCAATCTGATGAACAGCATTTACTGGCATTCAAGTAGGGCTGCAGTATGATCCCATGCACTCATCAAATTCTGAGTAGCAGACCCCAAAGATGCTCTCAGAACTATGCAACCCAGCACAGACTGCACTTTATCCCAAGTCTCATGAAACAGCTCATAAAAATCCAAATACACATCATCAGTATTCAGGTCACCCTCTTGCCATTCACAATCCAGTGAGCCAGCTTTCTAGGTAAGCTGTTTAGAAAAACCTTGGTATGTTACCTTGACTTCTATCGCTTTGTGCTCATTTGCATTCAGCGTGGGATTTATTAGATACGTGCACGTAAAAGAATAGCCAACACCAAATCAAAGAGTCTACATCAATAGGTCCAAGCTAACCTCTTCCACTGTATGGCACACCCTGGATGTGGGCAGAGGGAAAAGCAAAGCATCTGCGGAGTCAATTCTTTTACTCAAGACACAAGCAATGGGAACACGATTGTCAAGATCCTATCTTATGCTGCTAAAGTTTA